CCGCGACGACCGTGTATGTTTTCTATGACGACATCTCGAGTGGGAAGTGACAACGGTGAATAGAAAATGTCGCGTTGCGTGAGATGGAGGAAACAACGGTCGTCGAGAGTGACGAGGAAAGGATGGGAAATAATGAAGATGATGAAGAAACAACGGGAAATGATGAAAAAAATGGTTCGAATGATTCGGCGTTCGAACGTGACGCGGAGAGACACGGAGAGCGACGTGTTCGAGGAAACGCGTCGAGAATCGAGTCAAGCGCGTCGTGTGCACGAATTTTTGACGATCGCGACGAATCGCACGGGAATGGAGGTACGGCGGGATATCGCGCGTCGCAATCGATCCTCGGACGGAAAGAGGATCTCCGGCGGGAGGTCCGTCGTATCGAACAGCGACGCCGTTTGACCAACGCCGCGGTGGAAGCGCGCGGACGACGCGCACCGAATGTGGTATGTCACGTACAGCACGTTGCTATTCTCGCGAGCGGAAAATAACGAGATTCTATTTTTTGTTTAGGTCGGAGTTGCCACGAGGAAGAAATCGCGCGAGAGAGAATATCTTCGAAAGAGTCGCTCGCGAACGATTCGAACCAATTGCTAAATATCGTCGTGGAAAACTAAAATTCATATTACAAATTGTCTGATTGAAACAAACTTTTCCCCTCGTGTCGGCGATACGCTCGCCCGATGAAACCGCCCGCTCGAACGAAGGACGTTGCGCGTCGACCCAACCGACGAGAGAGCGGAGCGATCGATCGAATCGTTCGGAAGAGAGCTCGCTCCCTGCCCTCGGCGCTGCCGCGCGACACCGCGAACGAAACAACCGCGCGAACGCGAGGCTACGGACGTCGTCGAGCGCGTCCGTCTCGAGGTTCGCGTGAGAAAGAGAGACGAACTCGCGCAGCGACTCTCCGAGGCAGATTTTTTCCAGATACGCGCGCGCGCGGATTGATCTCTCTCGCGTCGGGTGGCGGTGAATCCAATCGACCGTCGATACGAAGAAACGCCGTACCATTGGATATTGCGATAACTGCGCGTGGTCACCTCCTCTTTAATACCGTCGCACAATTTTTTCCATCCAGGAGCGAGGGAAAGCGAGGTTCGCGGAGGAAGCCGAGAGAGCACGCGCGGATGCGTGGTTCTCCGTCGCGCGACTCTCGACGGATCGTTCGGTTGCGTATATACGACGACGTTGCAGTGCGACGCGGTTGTACGTGTCGTCACGCGCGTGGTTACCGTGGTACGTAAAGAGATTACAATATATATATACATACTCTGATTCGTGTATACAAATAAATACGTGTCGAGTGTGCGCGACACGTACGGATACATTTAATGATGCGCGAAAGCAATCGTACGAACCGCGCGATCGATATAATTCCCTGTTTAGAAAGTATACGTTTGTAAACATTTTTCACGTAGATTTGTACTCATTGTTTCTTTCTTTATTTCGTATTCACTGGTTTTTTACCACCAAGTACGATCGAAAATTACACATTTGACAGATACGTAATATTTAATTAACAAATAATAATTTGTACATTGCAAACTAACTGCGTTGATTATATAGGACTGTACGAAGCGTTACTGTACGACGGAGACTCGGGCGAGGCTCTGTCCGATCGAAACTGTTCATTTTTCGTAAGGCTCGTTTCTGTTAAAAAACAAATAAAAAAGTTTTTTTTATTTTTTACTAACCAGTCGTTTTCGGTCGATCCCCGTAGCATCCTAGCGCGAAAGGATCTCCCCTTTACGCGCGGTCGTTGTAATAATTGCGCGTGGTTACCGCAAAGTTTGCTATCGCGGATCGCATTACGCGCGCGTCTAAGGAGAATGATACATTTGTGAGTAACGTAAATTTACAAAAACGTACGTTCTGAGTTTCGACGGAGGGATACGTATCAGATCGTGTCCAGGCGCGGTTGTGCCTTCGTGCGCGACGAGTCGCGGCGCCGTTGGTGGACACAGTCGCGTTGGAGAAAACAGATAGACGCACAGTAAGGTTCCTACGAATGCTCCTCGTTCGATACCGTGCGTCTTCTCTTCAATTTGCAGCCTCGTTTTTTCAATGATTTCGATTTTGATAAAACAAAACGTATTTTATGTGTATTGAATTCGACGTAGGTTTACTTTGATCATATTTGTAGGACGATTAGTATTTCAGATATATTAGAGGGGGAAGTGAATAATAGTCTTTTTCGTAACAATTATATATTCATTTATTTAAAGGTTGAATTCGTACAATGAAACCCTCGCGGAACGCGAGTAACGACGGCAATTCGAGAGACGCGTCTGGCGTACCAGATCTTGCTAACCGTCGAACGTACGTATGTACAATGTCGTGTCGTCGCGACGCGCGCGAGCGAGCGTGCGAGCGAACAGCGAGCGAGCGAGCCACTGCGCATGGATAGTACCAGGCGTGACGGTACGTGTGTTTCTCTTCTCTTTGTAAAAAAAATTTGCCATCGTCGCTCCGACGAATCGTGTGACTGGATTCTTCCGTCCGAGCGAGCGAGCGTGCGCGAGCGAAAGATAGTGTCGGGCGGTGCGCTTCGCGGAGCGCTCTCTCCTCCGGATCTAAAGATTCGCGATCGTCGAGTATGGAATATGTAATTCGTTCAATCCGTGAGCGAGCCTCGTCGCGGGATCGGACGCGACTTGTTCCGCGACGCTCTCGAAACTTTCGAAATAATTTTACGATCGAAAGTATAACATGATGTATGTATGATGCACGACGATGTACGTATGTATGTAATAAAGCCATTTGTAACGTCTATGGTTCTTTCTCGGTTCCCCCCCGGCTCTATCGTGAGCACGCTCGATTTGCAGGCGCGTGATGTTACGTGTGTGTGCGCGCGCGTGTGCGACGACTCGTTCGTCTGCGTCGTCTCGCGTGCGTTCGCGATGTATCTATCCGCCTCTCGTTGCACCGTTGCGCTGCGCGCGCTGGTGAAACGTACGCATTCATCTCTCCGCCGTTCGAACTTGAGCGCGACGCGCGTGTGGCGAGTCGACGCATAGATGGGTAGAGAGCTCGGAGTTGCGGAGCGAACAGCGGGGTCCTCTCTCTCACTCGCTCGCAGCAGCCGTCTGACCGACGACGACGAGCGTATGCATCGGCGACCGCTGCTCTCGATCGCGCGATACTGCCGACCGCGGTGGCCATCGTTCGTCGGCGCCTCTGATCGCGCGGTCACGCCGACGGTGTCGGTCGCGCGTGGCGTGGACGGTCATGCTGCCGGTTATGCTGCCTCACCTTCCGTGAGTGCGGCGGACGCGTCGTCGGCGTCTCACATTCGCCGTTGCACTTGGCACGCGTGTCGAATTCTCGTTGTCGTCGCGCGCCGAGTGCAACGGCGAATTGGACGCCCTCTCGTATGACGACGACGTCGCCGTGCGTCTGCTGCACGCGCGCGCACCGAGTGTGCGTCGTCGTGCGCAGCTTGTCGGCACTCTGCCGCGCGGTCGCCGTGGAACGGAACGCGTCGTCGCGACGGTGCGTTCGTCGACGATCCCTCGTCGCTCGGCGCGATCCTATCTCTCGCGATATCTCGACTCGCGTACGTTTGCGACCCCTTCGACGTATCGTGCGTTTCAGAGTCCGACGCGTCGACTGAGACCTACCTCAGATGGATCGAGCGGGTGAGGTGTCCACAAATACCGTAATGTTTTGAAAACGCTTCGGGATTCGAACCTGAGAGAACAGCGTACGCTCGTAACACCTGAGCTAATAATAAACTCTTCTTACGAAAGATATCTCTTCAACGCTACATTACATATTTCTTTGTCACCACGAGTTCTCTCGTCCGAAAAAAACAACCGTTGAGACCCAACGGTAATAGTTACGGAATCGCGCACGAGTGAAATCTACGAATTTAGACCAGAGGTAGGGAATCAGCGAGAATTCAGCTAGAGGCGTTCCAGCGCGCCGCCCCAACCGTGTCTGCGCTATTCCGCGAAGAAAAAAAAAACGACCGAACTTCTTTTTCGCTCTCGAGCGCGGACGTTCCGATCGCGCTTTCGCGACGCGACTGAAGGAACGAAACCACGTAAAATAAAGAAACGCGGTTGCGCGTCCGTCGCGCGGAACGGCAAAGCACGCGGCGTCGTCCCGCCGCGCGCGAAACGGGACGACGCCGCGAGCGGGATTCTCGCGCGGGACGAACGGGAGATCCGCGATCGAGCGACGGGATTCGCGTCTCGGCGCCTCGCGAAAACGGTCCTCCGTCGGCGAAAGCGCGCGATCGTGGGAATCCTATCGAGCGCGCCGCGACTCTCCCGCGTTCACGCGATCCCCGTAGCTCGGGTACGCGCGGCGAACGGCGACGCCTCGGGGGAGCGAGACGGGACGAGATGCGCGCGGTATCGATTCGTTCGGTTTTTTTTTTACGAGTCGAGCTCTCGAGCGGCGGGGACGCTTTCGTAGCGCGCGAGAAAATGAGGATAGGTTGTCGCGTTTTTTTTTCGCGCGATCGCTTCTCCTCGCGGTGCAGCCGACGAGTGTATCTCGCGACTCGTGCGAATTGTTCCCTCCCCACGGGCGAATCGCGCCGCGGCTCGTCGCCCGACGCGAGAGAACAAAGACTGTACGCGACAAACGTTGAAATAAACGTGAAAAAACGAACGCAGTGACACGCGTGAACGACGGAACGCCGTCCGTGCCTCCGATCTCACGAAGAGATCTCTTTGCGACGACCGCGACACGTCTCTTTTCCAACGGGTGCGTTTCAAAACGCTGTCTCCCTCCTCCCCCCATTAGTAGCGCATAAAGTCGCTCGCGCCGATCGCGAGGCTCCATCTACGTATCGTGTCTCGTCCGAGATATCCGGATTTTTCGTCTCTATTTTTTTTCGCGGTCCCGCGCGCTCCCCGTCGACGCTCGTGTACCTCCGAAATGAAAAAACGTACGAACGGTGCGGAGTCGCGGAACCAGCGCGCGAGCGAGCGAGC